AATCTACATTTTTTCCCAACCATCCTGTGGTGTTGGGTCCTCGTTTTGAAGAGACGTCGCCCCGCGTTCCTTCCTTCCCGCTGCCCCCTCCCTCCTCCCATCTTCATCATCATCGTCATCACCCATTTCGGCACACCCCTCACACGTTTCGTGGCCCCATAGGGAGCTCCACCGAAGGTCCCAGTGGGTGTGCCCGCATGCGTCCCGCACACCCATTTCGGCACACCCCTCACACGTTTCGTGGCCCCATAGGGGGCTCCACCGAAGGTCCCAGTGGGTGTGCCCGCATGCGTCCCGCACACACATTTCGGCACACCCCTCACACGTTTCGTGCCCCATAGGGAGCTCCACCGAAGGTCCCAGTGGGTGTGCCCGCATGCGTCCCGCACACCCATTTGGCACACCCCACATTTGGCCCCGCACACCCCTCACACGTTTCGTGGCCCCATAGGGAGCTCCACCGAAGGTCCCAGTGGGTGTGCCCGCATGCGTCCCGCACACCCATTTCGGCACACCCCTCACACGTTTCGTGGCCCCATAGGGAGCTCCACCGAAGGTCCCAGTGGGTGTGCCCGCATGCGTCCCGCACACCCATTTCGGCACACCCCTCACACGTTTCGTGGCCCCATAGGGAGCTCCACCGAAGGTCCCAGTGGGTGTGCCCGCATGCGTCCCGCACACCCATTTCGGCACACCCCTCACACGTTTCGTGGCCCCATAGGGAGCTCCACCGAAGGTCCCAGTGGTGTGCCCGCATGCGTCCCGCACACCCATTTCGGCACACCCCTCACACGTTTCGTGGCCCCATAGGGAGCTCCACCGAAGGTCCCAGTGGGTGTGCCCGCATGCGTCCCGCACACCATTTCGGCACACCCCTCACACGTTTCGTGGCCCCATAGGGAGCTCCACCGAAGGTCCCAGTGGGTGTGCCCGCATGCGTCCCGCACACCCATTTCGGCACACCCCTCACACGTTTCGTGGCCCCATAGGGAGCTCCACCGAAGGTCCCAGTGGGTGTGCCCGCATGCGTCCCGCACACCATTTCGGCACACCCCTCACACGTTTCGTGGCCCCATAGGGAGCTCCACCGAAGGTCCCAGTGGGTGTGCCCGCATGCGTCCCGCACACCCATTTCGGCACACCCCTCACACGTTCCGTGGCCCCATAGGGAGCTCCACCGAAGGTCCCAGTGGGTGTGCCCGCATGCGTCCCGTCGTCTCTCTGCCCAGCGGCAAGAGCCTTGCCCGCTATCAGCCAGCCAGCTAGCTCTTTTTGCTCCGCGCAGTGGACGACCCGCGCGCGTCGCTGGGACCCCTCCGGGGCGACCTGCGCGCGTCGCGGGGACTCCGCGCTGCGCTGCGCCCGCAACCTTGGACTTTTGAGTGCGCGGGCAAAGAGGGAGTAAAGGAAGGGGAGGAAGCGGGCGCGATCCTCGCCGGTGGGCGCGCCGACATTGGCGTCGCGGCGCGCGGGCGATGCCGTCGGGGAGTCCCGGGGAAGCTCCTTGCGGCGGCCACGCCCAGCGTCACGAGTACTCAGAGGCAGACATTGTCAAACTATTGACATTCATACACAATTGCGCCACGCTTTGTCATATTCGCATTCATGCACGTAGACTCGTTCGCACGCAGATTCATTCACAGTCAGACGCACGCGCGCAGATTCACCCGCGCTCAGTCTCCCTACGTACTCAGATCAATCGTTTTCGTTCGCGTTGTGTACCACGCCACTCATGTCGGCACACCCCTAGCACGGTTCGTTGCCTCATAGGGATCGCCACCGAAAAAGTGAATCACTATTGCGGTACTCACACCTGTATATGGTTGGGTCCCTCGTCAGGCTAATTGCATTGCCGCCATGCTGTCTGTCGTACAGATTCCACCCCCCGCAAGTCTAGTTGGTAGCGGAGCTGGGAGCGATCCCAGCTCGCGATCCACGGAACGTGCGAAGAGTGCTGTGTAGACGAACGCTACTATTTTCATCACAGTTTCGGTACCACCCTCCAGTCGTGTTGTCGCTTGTGTTTATGACTGTGTTGCACGCCAACCTGCAATTCGTCGCGGACGCCCGGTCTGAATGCGAGGGCAACAGCATAAGGGGCAACCACGAGCGAATTAAATGTACAAGAGCGCCACGGCGTTTTTCGACCCATCGCAACCCCACAGGCACTGGCCGCAGCTTCGGATTCATTTCCATTGAGGGAAATGGCCGTTGGGGACAACCTGTTCACCACCCTGAAGGGTGTCTAAATATCATTATCGGGACTCAAAAGTCACGAATCAACTTGATTGTCGCGTCTTGAACAGTGCCAGATCACCATTCCTGGGGGCAACACCGCGAATCAACCTAACTGCTGCGCCATGAAATCCTGAACCGTTCCAACACACTTTTGCTTGCTACGCTGATCATGCGAATCCGCGAAACCATTGCAATTGCTGAAGACGAATGCGCGCGGCGCTGAGGTGAAAACCACATTTGGGAGGCCAGCCGCCCTCAATCCGTGAAGCTGCTGCAATTTTGTTTAAACGAATGTGCGCGGTGTTTTAGCGAATGCCGCAGTTTGAAGACGAGCCGCCTTCAATCCCTAAACCTTTTGTAATTTGTTCAGCGAATATGCGCGGCGTGAGAGCGAGACCCATATGCTGGAAACCGCCCGTCTTCCATCACTGAAGCTTTGGCAAGTTGTTAAGACGAGTGCGCGTGGCGCGAAGGCGAGCACCACATATTGAAAATTTTCCGCCCTCCATCCGCGAAGGTCTTCCAATCTTTTGGAAGAGTGCACGCGGCGCTAAGTTGAGAACTTCATTTTGAAAACGAGCTGCCCTCAATCCGCGAAGCTATTCCCAATGTTTGGAAAAATGCGCGCGGCGCTAAAGCGGGAGCCACATGTTGTCAGCCACCCGCCTTCCATTGGTGAATCGGTCTCCAATGTCTCAGGCTCAGGGTTATTAGTGGTGGGGAAGTCTCATACGAATTTCCCGGCCAGCCTTTTCGATTGGTTTCGGTGCGCGACAGGGAGGAGTCATGTATAAAGAACAAGAATGGAGGACAACGAGGACGAGGACAAAACCCTCAACATCGCCTCGGGGAGCCCTCTTGGGACTATTTGGGGGATCGTGGGTTTTTGTTCGGGGGTTCTTTCGGGGGATCGTGGGGCCTTTTTGGGGCCCCTCTCGGCACTCTCTCGGGGGCCTCTTGGGAGCCTTGGAGGGCATCTTGGAGCTATCGCGGAGGGCGTCGCTGAAAAGAGAGTGGTCGTAACGTTTGCCCCACCCCCCCTCCCCTCCATCCTCGGGGGGGCCTTCGAAATCGCCAGTTGGGGTCCTCATGAAGCTCTCTTGGGGCTCTCTTGGGGCTCTCTTGGGCCATCTTGGGGCCGTCTTGGGAGCCTCGTGGGCCCTTATTGGAGCTCCCGTGGGGTTCTCTTGGGCCATCTTGGGGCCATCTTCCGGCTTCAAAACTGCATTGGAAGCGAAACGGAGAGAAGGCCATCATCATTGATGTTTTCATGGTGTTTGAAGATTTGTGGCCTCTTGGTGGGGTCCTGAGGGGCTCCGAGAGCACTTGGAGCAGTCTTGCGGCCTTCGTCGGGCCTCTTGGGTGCATGGGGGAAGCCAAGCCATCTTGAACCATCTTTGGTTATTTTGAGCCGCCTTGGAGACCATCTTGGAGCATAGGAAGCCCTCGTGAAGCCATCGTGGGCGCAACAAGACCACCTGGCACATCGCGACCCCCCCCCTCTCCTCCAAAAAACAGGGAGGAAAGGGGGAGGGTACCCCTCCCCGAAGAGAAGAGGGTTTTTGGAAGAGCAAAGGAAGAACTCGCTAGACCACCTTAGCCCAAAGGGCTGGTGGGATCCCTCCCCTCACCAGAGCAGGGCGATGTCTTGATGTACTGTGCGCAGTGTGCGCATGCGCTCGGTTGCAGCCGCGCGGATTCGCACTGACGTGCCCAGGCCGACGCCTTCGATTTGTGCTGGGCAAGCTTGCGCAGTGCATCGTGCAGCCTCAAGAGGTCCTGGGCTGAGCCACGTGGGGGGTCGAGCGCCCGCAGCGGCGCGCGCGCTCGCGTCCGAACTTCAAAAGACCTCCTCCCTCGTCCTCCCTCCTCCCTCCCTCCCTGCGTCCCTGCCTCCTCCCTCCTCCCTCCCTCCCTACCAGGAGGCCTGGGGGCACCCGAGTGGGTCCCCATCCCCCGTCACCAAGGTGGACCCCTTGGCGTTGGGGTTATGGTCACACCTCCCGGACACAGCCTCTTGGACGACTAGGCCCCTGGCATTCTGCCTCTGAGTTTAAGTTTGAATAATTTATTACATTTTGCTAGGAGACATGTAAGTCATGGCGGCCTGGCATGCGCAGGGGAGGGAGGGGGAAAGGGGAGCGGGGGGTCGAGGGCGGGGTCGGTCGGGGCAATCGCGCAGGCGGGCGTTGTGGTCGACGCGGCGGTCGCGGTGGCCGGGCCAAAGGCGGACGTGGTGGTCACGCTGCCGGGCGTGGTGGTCGTTGTGGAGGTCGGGCAGGCTGGGCTGATGGTTGGGCGCCGCGGCGGTGGTCGTGATGGTTCGGCCGGCGGTCGTGGCGGTGGTGGTCGTGCTGGTGGTGGTCGAGTGTCAAATTTGCGGGGGCCGTGGTGGCGGCCGGTGGTCGTAGTGGTCGTTGTGAGCTTGCTGATTTGCCTCCACAGCGTCCCGAGGACCTTTCCTGGTCAGCGTCGTCGCGCCCACGACCGTACGACCTGATGAACTCGACGGCCGTGTCGGACTGGCGGCCTCCACACTCGAACACCAAGGGCGCCAAATTCCCTCCCTCCAGGGGCGGGCCCACGGTGCTGCTCGTGGTGGACGCCTTCTACGTCCTCGCCTGAGGACTGGCCGCCTCGGCCGTGCCGCCAGCTGTTCGTCCCGACGGACGGCTGCGCCAGGCCTCGTCTCTCGTCCCTCCTCCTCCTGCCCCGTTTCCCCCTCGCTGCCTCCCTCCCCCCCGCCGAGCGGGGGGCGCCAGGTCGAGCGACGCCAAGCTGTGGGGGCACCCCAAGTGGTGGAAGCGCGCGGACCTGCTCAGGAGCGGGGGGCCCCCCCCACCCAGAAGGGCGCCGCGGGCGCGGCAGGGGGATGGGGGGAGGGCAGGAAGGGGGAGGGAGGAAGGGGGAGGGAGGGAACGAGGGGGGAGGGACAGAGAGGGGGGGGGGGGGATGGGGGGGGGGGTGGAACGGGGGCGGTGCGGGGGGGCCCCATCGGACCTGGCATCCCCCGAGGTGGGGGGAGGCAGGGAGGAGAGGGGGGCGAAGGGGGGGGGAGAGGGAGGGGAGGATGGGCGAGGGGAGCGGGGACGATGGCGAAGCGGGTAAACCTGCACAGGAGGAGGGGCAGAAGGAAGGGCATTGAGGAGGAGGAGGAGGAGGAGGAGGAGGAGGAGGAGGAGGAGGAGGAGGAGGAGGAGGAGAGGGAGGAGGAGGAGGAGGCGGAGGGGGGAGGGGGAGGGGGGGGGAGGAAGAGGAGGAGAAGCATGAGGAGAGGGAGAGGGAAACCACCAGGGCTTTCCACGGGAGGAGAGATGCGTCGGTGCGCTCGCGCCATATCTGTCACCCGACCGTTCCACCCATCCTTTCACCTTGAGCTGATGTGGGCTCTGTCCGCCGACGCGCGTCGTCGTGGTCAACTGGGATTTCCCAAGAAGGACTCCATCGTGTTGTGTGGAATCGGAAGCGGGGAGCGACCGTGTACGTCGGAGGAAAAAGAGGTGGCGGGTGAGCCGGAGGATGAGGAGGAGGAAAAAGAACAGGAGGAGGAAAGAGGAGGACGAAGACGAGCAGTAGCAGGAACCGGAGAAGGAGCGACAGGAGCAGGAGGACGTGGGGAATGCGGAAGAAGGGAAAGGACGGGGCGACAACGATGAGGAACGATTCGGATCCCGAAAAGTGGCCCGAGTTTGGGCGGAAGCGCCGCTCTGATTGAGAGGAGCAGATCCTAAAACGAACGACAGCACGATTCTGAAGGACCGAAATTGACCGGACTGCCAAAAACTCTCAAACACGGGGCAGGCCAATTCGCAACATTTTGTATGAAAAATCGCAGCGTGGCAGGCCATTGCCCAGGCTTGTTAGGGGGAGTGGAAGAATTGACGCTCATTTCTGGCACTGCGAGGGGAGGGGGGAGGAATGAAGGAGGAGAGAATAGAGGAGGAAGAGGGGGGGGGAGGGAGGAGGGGAGGACCAGGACGGGGGGGAAGAGGGGGGAAGGAGGGAAGGGGGGAGGAGGGATGAAGAGGGCGAAACGGGTTGATCTGGTCAGAAGGAGGGGCAGAAGGAGGGGGAAGGAGTAGGAGAAGGATGGGGGGATGACCAGAGGCCTCCGAAAGAAAGAGAGCCTCCTCCCCCGTCGCCTTATCTTTTCGGGCATTATTTGCTATTTGTCCCCCAGAGGGCCCCTTCTCGTTCGATGCGCGAGCAACCGAAAGAACGGGAGGGGGTGCGTGTACGTTGAAGACTGAGGGGGAGGTGGTGGATGAAAAGGAGAGCGAGCATGAGGAAGGGGGGAGGAGGACGAGGAGGAGGAGGAAGAGGAGGAAGAGGAAGAGGAGGAGGAAGAGGGAGGAGGAGGAGGAGGAGGAGGAGGACCAACAACAGGGGCAGGATTGTTCATGGTGTGTGTTGGCAGGACGAGGGAATGCGCGGGAGGCTGGCTTTGGCCGAGGAGGGGAACGGAGGGTGGCGGCAACGACCGGGGAAAACTCGAGTCCGGAGACGTGGCCCGCGCTTGGGTGAGAGCGCCCTATGCTGAACGGCTGGAGTCTAAGGCGCCGATCTCGAAGTGCGGCCTGCGCCGAAGAGGAGCACAGTTTGAGGAGAGGGCCGGGAGTAGCCCGATCGACGCACGTGTGAATTGCGAGTCTGGAATCACGCGCGCGCGAGACACGCACCGAGAGGCGGCGGCGGACGCTGTCGATCTCTGGAGGGGAGGAGAGCAGTCGTGCTCGTGTTGTGCACCTGTGGAGAGGGAGGGAGGCGCGGGAGAGAACAGAAGAGATATCACGAGGAGGAGGAGGAGGAAGACGAGGAGGAGGAAGAGAGGGGAGCCCGGCGAGGAGGGCGAGGAGGACGAGGACGCCTGCAAGGATGAGGGGGAGGAGGAGGAGGTGGAGGAGGAGGAGGACCACCGAAAAGCCCAATACCCATCAACGATGTCGCAATGCACCCTCCCTTCACGCTCCCTCTTCGCAGTCCCCTGCATGGATTAATTTCCACTGAGGGAGGTACCCCTTTGGAAGACAACACTTGGAAGATCCTGCACCGTACCAGAGCACCTTTGTTGGATTTTTACGCCACGAGTCAAACTTCCTGGTGCGTCTTGACGACCCTGAGTCGTGCCAGAAAACAAGTCCTGGGATCTCAACACCGCGAATCAACATAACTGTTGCACCCTGACACCATACATCCTCCCGGACACCATTTCTGAAACGTTAAACATGATGATCCGCGGGAGCCACATTTTGAAAAGGAGCCGCCCTCCATCCGTGAAGCCTTTGCAATTTTGTGAGATGAATGCGCGCGGCGCTTGGGCGAGAGCGACACATTGAAAAGGAATCGCCATCCACCAGTGAAGTTCTGGATTTGTTTTAAGACGAGTGCGCGCGGCGCTGAGGCGAGAGCCACACCTTGCTGAGACGCCGCCTTCCACCCGCGAAGCTGTTGCAGTGTGTTGTCGGACGAGTGCGCGCGGCGCGAAGGCGAGAGCCACGGTTTAAACAAGGAGTCGCCTTCCATCCGCGAAGCTCCTTGCAGCAATTTTGTTTAGACGAGTGCCGCGCCGCGCCGAGGCGAGGGCAGCCCTTTGGGAGCGCCCCCGCCCTCCGCCCGCGACGCTCCCTGCAACTGCTTGTTTGACGACTGTGCGCCCTTTTGAAACGACTCATTCAGGAGGAAAAGAAACACACAGACACAACTAATCCTCGATTCCCCAGAAGATGTGGGAAAGCATGGGAAGTGGGGGGGAAGACAGAAACCCCGAAAATATGGGGAAATATGGGGGATCCTTTTATTTGTGTGTTTTTATTTGTGTGTCCCAGGGCCCCTTCACTCATGCGAGAGCAGCCTTTTGAGAACGGCCCGCCCTCCATCCGCGAAGCTCCTGGCGACTGCTCGCGGCGCTGGGGCGAGAGCCACGTCCCGCCTCCAGCCGTGAGGCGCTGGCAGCTGCTCAAGGTGGAAGTGCGCGGCGCTGGGGCGCGGACCGTCGGAGTCCACGGAAAAGGAGGACCCGTCGATAGTCCACGGAAAAGGGACCCGTCGATAGTCCACGGAGGAGGAGGAGGAGGAGGAGGAGGAGGAGGAGGAGGAGGAGGAGGAGGAGGAGGAAACGGAGGAGGAGGAGGAGGAGGAGGAGGAGGAGAAGGAGGAGGAGGAGGAGAAGGGAGGAGGAGAAGGAGGAGGAGAAGGTGGAAGTGCGCTGCTCACGTTTTGAAAGGGGCCCGCCCTCCGTCCGTGGAGTTGCTGCGAATCTCGAGCCTCAGAACCATGCACGGTGGGGAACGTGCTGCGCGCAGCGCGGGACACGTCCCGGGGTGCGGCAGGGGAGGAGTTTGTTTTTCCTTCGGGAAAGAAATGGAGGAGGAAGAGGAGGAAGAGGAGGAGGAGGAGGAGGAGGAGGAAGAGGAGCCCCTGTAGCCTCGAGGAGCTCTTGCGTGTCGGACGATTGCCTCGTCCTCCAGCTCAAGGTGGAGGCCGTCCTGTCTCCCAGATCCATCCGTCTCTCCCCCCCTCCCTGCCCTCCCGTCTGCAGCCACTCCCATTCCCCTGCTTCCCTCTCCCCCTCCCCCTCCCTGCCCCTGCCTCCCCCCCCCCCGGCCCCTCATCTCCAGACCCGCCTTCGGGGGCCCCCACACGGCGCGGCAACCACACCGTGTGGTGAGCCAGTGGGAAGTCGGGGCGACCCCGCAGTTTGGGGGGACTTGGGCCGTTCTCCGGAGATGCGACGGAAGGGCAACTGGGGCCTCCGATGTCCCCAAACCATCTGGCGACGGACCGTGCGGTGAGGTCTCTTGGGATCTCGAGGTCACCGCACGGTCTGTCACCGCACCGTCTTGGGGCCTGAAGTGTCTGTCTCCTTATTGGAGGCAGGCCAACCCGTTGTCCACTGTCCCTGGCCCGCATTCCCTCCCCCACTCATCCCTGCCGCCCCCCCCCTGTAAACTCTCGAGAACGTCCGTTGCCGGCCCCGCCCCCCCGCCTCTCTTGCCCCCTGGTAAACGTTACGGTTCGCGCCAGCGCCGTCTAGCAGTCACAGACGACACCGACGCGAATCGTGACCTTACCAGCCTCCCCATTCCCCCCGGGATAAACAGAACATGTCCCTCCTGCCCACTCCCTCACCCTGGGCCGCCCCGTGACCACTCCCCCAGACATCCGGCGCTTCAGTCTTTTCCGTGCGTGGGCCCCCCGAGGAGGAGGAGGAGGAGGAGGAGGAGGAGGAGGAGGAGGAGGAGGAAGAGGAGGAGGTGTGGACCACTTCCCTGGGGCCGGTCTCACGTCCTGGGCAGCGTGTCGGCGGCCCCAGGGCCCGTGGAGGGCCCTCGGAGGCTGCAGAGAGCCAGGGGCCGCCGCTCCGATGTTGCCGCAGCCTCGGATCTCTGGTCGGGACGACCGACATGGGTACGGAAAGAAGGGGTACAATGCCCAACAGCGGTTCCTGTTCATTTTGAGCAGGACTCGCTGTCCGCGCCGCCGCGGCCCGTGTCCACTCGGGACAGGAGGCCGCCTGCCCAACAGCGGCCGCTGTCGGTTTGGGACAGCATTTGTTGTTGGGCATTGTACCCATTCTTTCCGTGCCCATTCCCGGCGTCCAAGCTCTTGGCCGCCCCCGAAACGGGGGCGGAAAAGAGGGGGGTGATGACTAGGGGGGGTGGATATCATGGCGGGGGCCATGATATTTCCCAGATGTCATGGCGCCTCTTCTTATTTCATTGCGTCCCGTGCCCATTTCGGGCGTCCAAATCTGGGCCCGTGCCCGCCCGGCAGGCGTGGCCTTCGGCCCCGAGGAGACCCGCCGCGGCGGGCCGCCGCGCCCGCCCGCGCGCGCGCCCGCCAGCGGCGGCCGGGTCGCGCGAGGTGCGGGCGAGCGGGCGGCGGGCCGTTCGGTACGGTCGGAGTGGCCACGGGAACCATGGCGGCGCAGATGGGCAGCAGGGCCGTGCCCATTTTCATTTTGCACAGGGCTCGCTGCTGGCAATCGCCGCGAGCGCTGTCCAGCTGAGGCAGGAGGCCGCCTGCCCAACAGCGGCCGCGGAGGGTTTTGAGCAACATTCGCTGTCGCGCCAATGTTTCCCATGCCCATTTCGGGCCGGACGAAAGGGGGGGATTGGGAAAGGGGGGGTTACGAAATTTGCTGCATGCAGCTGGTTTCGGCCTCACCGAGGGGCCCAGTCCTCGATACATAGTCGCCTCCAGCGCCGGGAGGCGCCGGGAAAATCAGCTACGTGAGCTGATTCTCAAACCCCCCCTTTGCTATCCCCCCCTTTCGCCCGACCCGACCATTTCCGGCAGCCAAAGGGCTGGCCGGGCGGTGGGCCGGGGCGACGGGCGCGGGGCCGAGGCCAGGCGGCGAGCGCGGCGATGGCGAAGGCGATGGCGGAGGGGGTGTGGGTGTCCCTTGAGATCTGGGCTTGCATCGGGTGCGTTGAGACCTCTCGCCCCCCCAGGAACATCATAGAATTCTCCCAGAATTCTCCCCCAGAATCTCCGGCAGCAGTGGCGGGGGCCCCTCGGATCTCCGGCAGCGGAAATCACTGGCGACATTTCCGACGAAATCTCCAGATTCTGGGCGTTGCTGACTGTTCCTCGCCGGGCGTCTTCGCCTGCTTCCAGGCCCCGGGACCCTCCCAGATCGAGGAATGCAGCAAAGAGACGTGGTCTCACTCTCCAGCTGCACTTTCCCACGAAGTGGCCGTCAGGCCGCGGCCGGAGGCGAGGAGAGCGAGGAGGGCGGCGGAGGGGCGCGCGTGGAGGGCGAGGAGGGCTCCCGCCGCACTGTTCGCGAGGCTGCACTCTCTTGTGCAGCGTCGGATATATATATATATATATATATATATATATATATAAAAATCAGAGTCGGGCCGTGGCCGAGGGCGAGGCCGAGCGGGCGGGTAGCGGCCCCGGCGCGGCCAGGGCCGGGGCCGAGGGCGAGGGCGGGCGGGGGACGTGAGGCGGTGGCCGAGGGCGAGGCCGAGCTGGCGGGCAGCGGCGGGGTGGACGCCCGAAATGGGTACTCCAGATTTCGTAATAAAAGGGAGGGGTCTGGACCCTCCAAGACAAGACATTTCAGACCTCCCTCGTCGGAGAACCCTCCAAAACATCGTCCCCAGACCACCCCAGGCCCTCCAAGATAGCCTGGAAGAGACCCCCCCGAAATGAGACCCCCCTCCCTTTATTACGAAATCTGGAGTACTGAAAGAAGGGGTACAATGCCCAACAACAATTCCTGTTCAGTTTGGACAGGATTCGCTGTCCACGCCGCCGCGGCCTGTGTCCATTCGGGACAGAGGGCCGCCTGCCCAACAGCGGCCGCTGTTGGCTTGGGATAACATTTGTTGTTGGGCATTGTACCCCAGATTTCGTAATAAAGGGAGGGGGGTCTCATTTCGGGGGGGGGGTCTTTTCCAGGCTATCTTGGAGGGCCTGGGGGGGTCTGAGGACGATTTTTTGGAGGGTTCTCCCATGGGGGGGGGGGTCTGAAATGTCTTGTCTAGGAGGGTCCAGACCCCCTCCCTTTTATTACGAAATCTGGAGTACCCATTCTTCCCCTGCCCATTTCGGGCGTCGAAATGCGGGGTGGTCAGGCTGGTGCAGGGCCTCGGAGGTGGCCATCGCGAGGGGCGAGGGGCTTCGAGGTCCGAGGTCTTGGGAGGGGTTGGTCGGTGCTCGGCTCGGCCACGCACAGGGGGGGGTGGGAGGAGGGGGGAGGGCTTCTTGGAAGCACCCCTGCTTCTCAGAAGGCGTGGGCCTTGTCGATGTGGGGCCGCCGCCTTCTAAGATCCCCATGGGCTTGTCGACTTTTCGCCAATCGACCTGTGGGGATCGAGGCAGGTAATCCAGGTAATTAGATCAGATACATCGAGACCAATCCCAGTCAATCTAGACACATCCGGGTAAATACAGGTAAATCCAGAGATCTCCAGGGAAAGTCGGAGCAACTCGCGGCCGCTCTAACGCGAGTCGAAAGACGGCAGAAGTCGTCAAGCCTTCCACGACAAGAAAGCAGCCTCCTGAGAAGCCTTCCGCCCCTCCCCCTGCCCCCCGGCGCGCGCCGCCCATCGGCGGTGTTTCGGCCTCGGGACGCCTTGCAGCGGCTGCGCCTCGGCGCGAGGGCGCTTTGGCGGTGCCCAGATCGTCCCGAGCGGCCAACGGTGAGCCGAGCTATGGCCCGAAAAAGAGACAACCGGGTCCGGCTGAGGGATTCGGAGGTGGCTGTCGTCTCGCATGCGCGTTTCGGGCCTTCGCCTGCTCGCCTGCTGTCGCGTTCGGGGCATCCTCTGTGGTCCCAGGGTCTCGCATGCATTCGTTTCCTGGGCGTGTTCTAGGGGCAAGGATATACGGTAGTGTGAACCTACCGCGACACTCGCGGAGACCGTATCACCACCGCCACCATCTTCATCATGATCTTCATCGCCGTCGCCATCATCATCAGCAGCATCATCATCAGCAGCAGCATCATCTTCACCACCATCAGCAGCAAACTCACCATCATCACCATCATCATCACCATCACCATCGCCACAAGCACAACGTTCATCATTCCTCATATCCATCATCATCATCATCATCATCATCATCATCATCGTCATCATCATCGTCATCATCATCATCGTCATCATCAGTATTATCGTCATCATAACCATCATCCTCATCCGCATCATCATCAGCAGCATCAGCATCATCACCACCGTCAACATCACCATCACCACCATCAAGATCACCATCAGCATCATCATGATCATCATCAACACCATCAGCATCGCCATCAGCAACATCGTCATCACCGTCAGCATCATCATCCACGCCATCGTGATCGCCATCGTCATCGTCATCGTCATCACCACCATCACCATCACCATCGCCACCATCGTCGTCATCGCGCCCATCCCTGCTCGTCATCGATCATCTGTCGTACTATCCGTCCCCTCTCCCCCTCCAACCCATCCCTCCTCGCTCAGCCCCTGCGACCCCCCTGCGACCCCCCTCCAGCCCTTGCATCCTCCCTCAGCCCCTGCGACCCCCCTCCAACCCATCCCTCCTCGCTCGCCCGATGGCCCGCTCGCTCGCTGCCAGGACGGAGTACTGCCTTCCCGTGGGCGCGTTCTCCGAGGCCCGCCCTCGCCGCCGCCGTCGCCGACGCAGTCGGCAGCTTGCGTCGCCTGTCGCCGCCGTCGTCGCAGCCGCATTCGCCGCCGTCATCTTCGCCGTCGTCGATGTCGCTGTTGTCGTCGTCGTCGTCGTCGTCGTCGTCGTCGTCGTCGTCGTCGTCGATGCCGTCATCGTCGTCGTCGTCGTCGACGCCTATCGTTGTCGCCATCGTCAAGGCCACCCGTCGGTTGTCGGCTCGCGTGCAGGAGGACGGGGGGGGGGAAGCGGAAGAGGAAGGAAGGAGGAGCGTGGTGAGCGGCGAAAGATGTGGAGTATGAGGGATCACGAGTGTTAGCATTAATGTATTTGTGCCGTTGGGGGGGTTCTACATAGTTTGCGGCTGTTTTGCTCAAGCTCCATAATATGCCTCCTTCGCGAGGTGAGCGATTGACGTGTTTATACTGCGTACATCATGCCAGAGCGCCAGTGTAAAACAACATTTTCGTGTGTGTGTGTGTATATATGTATATCTGTATTTATATATATATATATATGCCACGAGCATGTTAGGCGAGGGAGAGCAGCGCAAGCAAGAGGGAACACAGGAGGGAGGGCACTGCGAAGAAGGAGGAGGGGTACGGCGGATAACGAAGATGAATGGGAGGATGAGGAGGAGCCTGCGTTTAGCTCGCAGGCAGATGCTCTTGGATAACGTAGTAACTATGCATGCGTATCCCTTTCCTGGCCACTACTAGCCTTCGGCATGGTGTATCGACTTTCCTGGTCTCGGCTAGGAAGGTCTATGCCCCTCTTCACAGTTCGTGGAATCATGCTCTTTTTCGCCACACATTACTCAGTGCCCGCATGTCTCTGGCAATCCGCATCTTGCGGCGATTGGGAGGGCAGCCCAGGACGTGCCCAAACGCGCGCCCAATGATGTCGGTCAAGCTTCCGTTTTACAGATGCAGTATTGGTTACTGCCAGCGTATATGAGAGGAGCATAGTCTCGCAACCGCCCAGCATACGAGGATGCACCCGTCTCATGTTACCTGTGCTGCTCATGTATACACGACTGTGCAGCCAATGCGAACACTGTGATTGTAAAGGACACATAGTTGCATATTGGAAACATGCTCTCCCATCCCGTCGTGCCATCTCCGCAGCCCCTCCTCCTATACCCTTCCACCAGATTTCCCCACCAGAGGAGTAAGAGTCTTCCCTCCCCATCTCTCCTCTTCCTCCTTCCTCATCGTCCACGTCTTCTCACCATCCTCCCTTCACCTCCTTCCTCTTCATTCTCCCTTCTCATTTCTCACCTTCCCTCCCCTATCACCCTTTCGACTATCCTACCCGCTCCTCCTCCTTCCACCTCTACCTTTCAGGTCTTCCCCTAGCACCCTATTTCCTATCGAGGACGCCGGCGGCGCATCACCGGCCGCTCCCTGGGAGTTTTTCGAAGAGGTGCGCAGCATCGAAAGTCGTGACGCGGCGCGTATGCCAGCTATCAAATAGCCGTCGCCCCATCCCGCCACCGTGCTTGGGTTTTGGGTCGGACGGAGTCCTCATGGACGCTTCCTGGGGTCTCTCGAGAGGGCTCTCGGAGGCTTCTGCGGGGCAGTTTAGGGGCCTCTTGGGGGCGTCCCAGGGGCTTCTTGGAGACCTCTTGAGGCCCTCTTGGGGCCTCTTGGGGCTCTCTTGGGGTTTGTTGGGGGCCTCCAGGGGGCCTCTTAGGGTCTCCTGGGGGCCTCTCGAGCCGAAAGCTCGACATGTTCATTCGGGTACCCCTTCTGGGCCTCCTCTTGGGGCCATCCTGGGACCCCTCTTGGGCCGTTCCGGGGGCCTCTTGGGCGGTCTTGGGGCCCTCTTGGGCCGTCTTGGGGCCGTCTTGGGGGCCTGTTGGGCCGTCCTGGGGCGATCTGGGGGGCCTCTTGGGCCGTCGTGGAGCGTGGGTAAGCCGAAATGGCGTGAACGTGTAAATCCTTCAAAAACCATTGAAAAATCAATGATTTTTGCTTCTCGGGGCTGTCTTGGGGGTGCTCTTGGAGCCCTCTTGGGCCGTCTTGGAGGCGTCTTGGGCCGTCTGGAGGCCATCTTAGGCGTCTTGGAGCGATCTGGAACCGTCTGGAGGCTCGCTTGGGCCGTCTTGGGGCTCTCTTGGCCCGTTTTAGGGCGCTCTTGAATCGCCCCCGGGCGCCGGAACTGTTCAGGGAGGGGGGGTCCGCCGGCAGAGTGGGGCCCCCTCGGAGGGACTTTCAGGAGGGCTTTGACCAGCCACTGGCGAAGGAAGGGGAAAGATAGTGCCGAACACTTTGTCAGAGAGGTCTCGCACGGCCCAACCCGCAGGGCGGGAGCGGCCGGATTTTCAGGCTGCAGCCTCTGCCGCCGACCCCAAATGCGGCTACGGCAGTTCTTTCTGTCGTGCTGTCGGTTCTTGGTTGGGCTTCTGTGGGCAAGCGCACGGTTGCCGTGGTGCATCTAGGCGTTGTGGTGTACGCAGGCGTTGTGGTGCACGCAGGGTTGCCGGGGGACACGGGCGCAATGTTGCACGCGGCTGCCGCAGTGTACACAGGCGCTGTGGTGTACACAGGCGCTGTGGTGCGCACGACTGCAGTGGTGCACGCTGGCACTGGGGTGTGCACAGGCAGTGTGGTGCATGCTTGCACTGTGTTGTATGCTGGCGCTGGCGCTACACTCCCCTCCGTGGCGCAGGGGCGCCGCAGATCCCACGCTTTGAGACCGAGTTGTTTCCCAACCATCCTGTGGTGTTGGGTCCTCGTTTTAAAGAGATGGTGCCCCGCGTTCTCCTCTTCTTTCCTTCCTCCTTCCTCCTTCCTCCTTCCTCTTCCTCCTCCTCCTCCTCCTCCTCCTCATCCTCCTTCTCCTCCTCCCTCCTCCCCTTCCTTGCCTTTGCTCTCCGCATGTCTCTGTTTCGGCACAACCCTCACACGCTAAGGCCCCAGTGGCGCAGCCCGCATGGCGGCGCCGCCCCATTTTGGCGCACCCCTCACACGTTTCGTGGCCCCATAGGGAGCTCAACCTGAGGTTCCAGTGGCGCAGCCCGCATGGCGCCGCCGCCCCATTTTGGCACACCCCTCACACGTGTCGTGGCCCCACAGCGAGCTCCATCTAGGGTCCCAGTGGCGGAGCCCGCATGGCGCCGCCGACCCATGCTGGCACACCCCTCACACGCTTCGTGGCCCCATAGGGAGCTCCATCTAAGGTCCCAGTGGCGCAGCCCGCATGGCGCCGCCGCTCCATTTTGGCACACCCCTTCACACGTTTCGTGGCCCCATAGGGAGCTCCATCTAAGGTCCCAGTGGCGCAGTCCGCATGGCGCCGCCGCTCCATTTTGGCACGCCCCTCACACGTGTCGTGGCCCCACAGGGAGCTCCACCCAAGGTCCCAGTGGCGCAGCCCGCATGGCGCCGCCGCCCCATGTTGGCACACCCTACACACGCTTCGTGGCCCCACAGCGAGCTCCATCTAGGGTTCCAGTGGCGCAGCCCGCATGGCGCCGCCGCCCCATGTTGGCAAACCCTTCACACGTTTCGTGCCCCCACAGGAAGCTCCACCTAAGGTCCCAGAGGCGCAGCCCGCATGGCGCCGCCGCCCCATGTTGGCACACCCTTCACACGCTTCGTGGCCCCATAGGGAGCTCCATCTAGGGTCCCAAGTCCGCATGGCGGCGCCGCCCCATGTTGGCACACCCCTCACACGTGTTGTGGCCCCATAGGGAGCTCCATCCAAGGTCCCAGTGGCGCAGCCCCATTTCGCTACACCCCTTACACGTTTCGTGGCCCCATCGGGAGCTCCACCTAAAGTCTCCGTGGCGGAACTCGCATTGCGGCCCAGTGGCGGAGTTCGCATGGCGGCGAGTTTCGGTTTCTGGCGGTTTTTCGTCGTATTCGAGGTGTTGAAGCCGCTTTCGGGCCGCGCATCCCAGGCGGGAGCCAGCCTGCTCGCTCGCTTTGCTCCGCGCAGCGGGCGACCCGCGCGCGTCGCCCAGCGCGCGTCGCGGGGACTCCGTGCGGCGCCGCGGCCGTGGACGTGGACGTGGGCGTGCACGTGCAAAGATGGAGAAGAAGAGCGAAAAGGAAGCGGGCGCGATCCTCGTGAGAGGCGCGCTGGCATGGGCGTCGACACTTATGCACGTAGACTCACGCGCGCGCAGACTCATCCACCATCAGACTCACGCGCTCTCAGTCTCTCGCACAGACCAATCGTCTTCGCTCGCGTTGTGTGCCCCGCCACGCATGTCGGCACGCCCCTCACACGGTTCGTGGCCCCATGGGGAGCGCGGGCGAAAACGATAACCTCATGCCCGTGAGAATAGACACCAGGGGATAATAAAGTTCGGGGTTTAGGGAGAGATAATAAAAGTAGCCCAGCAGACCTCAGCATAATCTCGAAGTAAGAGATGATCAAGAGGAGACCAAGCCGAGCACGTTTTGAGACATCCTTGGCGTTTAGTTTTCATAGAAATATCCTCAACAATGGCTTATCTCTCATGAAAATTGTTGTTTGTAAGTGCTCGTGTAGGGTAGCTCATGTGCCTCAATTTCAATGGATAATCAACCCCAGAGATAAAAAAGTTCAGGCGAGCGTGGGGACAGAGAGAAATATAGCAGAAGAAGAATACAGTATAAGAATACTAAGAAGAAGAAGAAGAGGATAAAAAAAAGAGGACGAAGAAAGGAAAAATCCAAAGTTCCAAATCTACCAATTTTAATTTACAAGCGCTTTATGAAAATTGTTTTTTTTAAGTGCTCGTGTAGGGTAGCTCATGTGCTTCATTTTCCATGGATAATCAACCCCAGGGATAAAACAAGTTCAGGCGAGCGTGAGGACAGATAGAAATATAAAAGAAGAAAAGGAAATAATAATAATAATAAGAACATTGCTCGTTTCGTTTGAGTCTGCCTCCCAAAATTATTGGTTTCGCTTGACACATCCTGAAAAAGTGTGATCGCTTCGCTTGATGTTGCTATAGCAACATCGTTTGATGTTGTTATCTCAACATAG